ATTGCCTCAGCCGGGTTTAGCAGTTTATGCCTGTAATCCTAATACTCTGGGAGGCAGAGGTAGGAGGATCACTTGAGTTCAGAAGTTTGAAACCTGCCTGAGCAAGAAGAAGACCTCGTTTCTACAAAAAATAGAAAATTAGCTGGGTGTTGTGGCAGGTGCCTATAGTCCCAGCTACTGAGGTGTCTAAGACAGAAGGATCATTTGAGCCCAGGAGTTTGAGGTTGCTGTGAGCTATCATGATGCCACTGCATTCTAGCCCTGGTGACAGAGTGTGACTGTATCGCAAAAAACAAAGACAAAAACAAAAAAATTATCACTGCCCTTCAAAGCCTCTCAATTTAGTGAGGAAGTAAGTGTAGCTACAGTGCAAAACAGACTAGGATAGAGTCTATATCTTGTCATCTTTTCTGAGACATGACTCAAGGATAACCATCATTATCAACACTTTTTATCTTAGATTCTGCCCTAAAACCAAAAGGATTAGTCACCAAGTTATGTAAGGTTGGCTTTTAACTCTAATAGCCCTACTATTCCTGACTGTTCCCTGCTTTTATACCTGTGTCAGGTTAGTTTTTTTTCTCGCCCCAAAAAAGAAAAGGTGCACTTTTATTTTTAGGTGGACTTCCTTCACGAGTTCAGAAACTGAGTTCATGGAAGCATTTGTACCTCCTAACTCTGTACTCAACACTCAATATTGGTGGAGTTGGGCCTGGTGGCACATGCCTGTAAGCCCAGTGCTTTGCCAAGAGGATGACTTGAGGCCAAGAGTTCAAGACTAGCCCAGGCAACATATCGAGACCTCATCTTTACAAAGAAATGTTAAAAATTAGCCAGGTGTGGTGGGTGATGCCTGTAGTCCCAGCTACTCGGGAGGCTAAAGCAGGAAGATTCCGTGAGCCCAGGAGATCAAGGTTATAGTGAGTGATGATGATGCCACTGCACTCTAGCCTGGCCATCAGAACAAGAAGACCCTGTCTCCAAAAAAGGAAAAAGAATGTGTTGATTGACTAAATGAATGAATAAAGTATCAGTAGGCCCACTTGGAGAAGAACACTGCCTAACAAAAATATAATACAAGCCACAATATGATTTTTAAAATTCCAGTAGACACATTAAGAAATAATCATAAAAAGAAACCAGTTAACTTTACTGGTTTAAATGCTTATATCAAATGTTGTAAAAAAACTATCAATTAACTTTACTGGCTGCTTCTTATGATTGTATAAAACTATAGTTTCTATAAAACTATATTTTATTTAACTTAATATACATATATTTCAACATACCAATATGAAATATTATTAGTAAGGAATTTTATATTTTTTCATACTAAGTCTTTGAAATCTGCTGTGTAGTTTATACTTACAGCACATCTCAGTTAGGATTAGCCATATTTCAAGTGCTTGATAGCCATGTGGAGCTACTGGCTACCTATTGAACAATGCCATTCTAGAAGCTTCTGAGTTTTCTAACTAGATGCCTCTGATCTGTGGACTCAGAACACAGATACCAAAGAAGTGGGTCTTGAGTCTGCATTAATAATAATAGAATTCTGATTGAGAGCCCTCTGGGCTTACTTAAGAGAGAAACTCATGGAATTGGTGAGTATAGACGCTTCAGTATTGGCTTTGGCTGTTCAGACTCTTTCTGGGCTAATCCCCAGCTATTTTCTCAATTACAGTTAAGCTGGCATACAGCTCCACTTTTTAAGGTAATAAAGAAGTTGGATATGAGGCCTCTGATTATGTGTTCTGAGTATGGGATTAGGAAAGAAGCATTTTAAACATCCCTAAAAGTAAAACAAATTAGGTCTTTTGTTTCCTTAAAATTAGAGAAAACTGATATGCCACCATACCCCTCTTAATTTTGCTTTGAAAACCCTTCTATGAAAGTGTATTAGAGAATCTTCTGATTAGCTTCCTGCCTCCTCTCCTTTAGCAAGGTCAAGGGTGCAGTTGTCACTATTACAGATGACTCTCAGGAAATTAAACATGAATATACTGCATAGACCTGATTGGGCCTGTCTTGCCACACATTGTCTTAAACTCCAGAATTCTGGAAGGTATGCTTTCCATGACAACAGATTTATTTTAAAAAGAAAACAAACTTTTGGGCACACAGCCCCGTATACCAGGGATGGCACGTTCAAGCCCAGCCCTGTCCAAAACTGAAGAAAAAAAGAAAGAAAGAAAAGAAAACAAACTTTAAAAAGAAAAGAAAAAAAATCTATGATAATTATGGTTGCAAGTATGTTTTCAAAGACAGGGAACCTTCATTTTGTTTTGAATGTATTTTTTTTTTTTTTTTT